ATACCGATTAGTTTTCACGAGGCGCGGTGTGCTTCACTTCTCTTTTAGATTTAGTAAAAGATTTGCAACTTAGAAATACTAGAAGTGACAAAACGCGTGCTTCGCGCGCGCAGTTTGTGGTTGAGCAGTGCATAATTTTGAGAATTTGTACACATGCAAAGAAGTAATTGCGCAACGTCAATTTAAAATAAAACGTAATTCAACACTCACTGATACGATTCGCAACAGCAGAGTGTACAAAAAAATATAAATACGATTATTATAGACTAATTATGTAAAACTAAAATTATTGTATTAAATACACTTTATATTTTATACAATATTTGTTTAAATAGGCACTTATTAAAATAATTATATAGAATACTGAAAAAGTCTTCCTTTTAATTATAAACTCTCAAAATTTTATACGTATGGTTTTGTCTCTAACACTTATTCGAATCCTCGTTCGAATCATTTAAATAAATGAAATAAAAACAACAGATGCTTCATTTTGCACAAGTAGCAAATAACATCAAAATGTAACACACTTACCTCACCAATTCTCCGCCGTTGCCCGATGCCGCCTAAGCCTGCTCCTGCTCTCAGATTTCCTTGTTGCACTGACACAACACTCACTCACGAAAATCATCGATCGCGCGAAATTTCGGGCACTCCCGTACGCGACGTAAAATACCGCAAAACGCACGAAATATTATTAGCAAATATCGCGTGACTTTCTGTCACACAAATTACGTACAATAAGCGACTTTCTTTACCTCCTGCCCGTTCGAGTTGCGAAGAACGGCCGAGCGAATTATAGCGCAAACACCGAAGTCGCACAAATTTCTCTTTTCCCGAAAATGGAACAGATTACACGAAACCGATAGATAATTAAAAGCGCGGTGCGTAAACGAGATGTAACCGTGACAAACCACGGTTTACATTCATATTTTAGATGAGTTAGTCTCGTAAAAATCTATGTATACGTTGATAAAAAGCCGTCGCCTTATCACGCAATTTGTTTCTCATTACAAGTTGTAGAAACTTGATAATTAATCGAGGAACGTTACTTGTTACTGATAAAGGTGTACAAATCAATAGTGTTTCATCCCTACATTCATCGCGATCGAGTTTTGGAAACCGATAACGCAAAAGTAACAACACGCACTGAGCGACTCTCGCCACTGCCTGCCGGCGCGACGTTCGGCGGGCGAATGATTGCGCGGCGACCTTCGGGCACAACACGATGGCACGCAAACATCGTACGTCACCGCGCCGAAAGAAAAACTATAACGAACTTTGAGAATTATTGTTTTTCTCTCGGTACGGTGAGTGGTGACGTACGATGTTTTTGCGTGCCATCGTGTAGGTACCTGAAGGTCGGCTGCGCTCTCACTCGCTCGCCGAACGTCGTGCCGGCAGACAGCAGCGAGAATCGCTCCGTGCGTGTTATTACTTTTGCTTATTACTTTTGCGTTATCGGTTTCCAAGACTCGATCGTGATGAATGCAGGGATAAAACGCTGTTGATTTGGACATCTTTATCAGTAACAAGTAACGTTCCTCGATTAATTATCAAGTTTCTACAGCTATGTAATGAGAAACGATTTACAAGTTGCAGCGACTGCTCTTTATCAACGTATCATTTTATCAACTCATCTAAAATATGAATGTAAACCGTGGTACTTTGTCGCGGTTACATCTCGTTTACGCACCACGCTTTTAATTATCTATCGGTTTCGTGTAATCTGTTTCATTTTCGGGAAGAGAGAAATTTGTGCAACTTCGGCATTCGTGCTGTAATTCGCTCTGTCGTTCTTTGCAACTCGGACGGGCAGGGAGTAAAGAGTGTCGCTTATTGCACGTTGCGAACTAATAACTACTTCTTTACCGCAAATTATGCTTCCGATGCTCGCGTTGCGTTTTATATCGCCAATTCAAAAGTGATTTATCCCAATATTCTTCCGAATCAAAAATGCAAGTGATTAGTTTGAGTAATTTATATGACAGAAAGTCACGCGATACTTGCTAATAATATTTCGTGCGTTTCGCGGTATTTCACATCGCGTACGGGAGTGCCCGAAATTTCGCGCGATCGATGATTTTCGCGTGTGAGTGTTGTGTAAGTGCAACAAGGATATCTGAGAGGAGGAGAAGGCTTCGGAGGCATCGGGCAACGGAGAATTGGTGAGGTAAGTGTGTTACATTTTGATGTTATTTGTTAATTGTGCAAAATGAAGCATCTGTTGTTTTTATTTCATTTATTTAAATGATTCGAACAAGGATTCGAATAAGTGTTAGAGATAAGACCATACGTATAAAATTTTGTAACTTTATAATTAAAAGGAAGACTTTTTCAGTATTCTATATAATTATTTTAATAAATGCCTATTTGAACAAATATTGTATAAAATATAAAGTGTATTTAATACAATAATTTCAGTTTTACATAATTAGTCTATAATAATCGTATTTATATTTTTTTGTTACAGTTTAACATATATAATTAGCGATGTACAACTCTGCTGTTGCGAATCGTATCAGTGAGTGTTGAATTACTTTTTATTTTAAATTGACGTTGCGCAATTACTTCTTTGCATGTGTACAAATTCTCAAAATTATGCACTGCCCAACCACAAACTGCGCGCGCGAAGCGCGCGTTTTATCATTTCTAGTTGCTTAAAAAACACAATTAAATCAAAAGAAATAAATTTTGGTACGGTTTTTGAAAACTTATATGTCAATGCATTGTTGACTTCGAATTATTTGACTTCGAATATTCGAAACTTCGAATCTTCGAAAAATGTGAAAACTTCGAAAGTTTGATATTCGAAGTTTCTTTGTTTCTTCGGATTCTTCTTCGAGAATTCGAAGTTGCGAAACCTCGAATAATTAAACCACTAAATCAATAGACCCAATAGACCTCAGTTGATATAATGTATCTACGGTAAAAATAATAACGTATATGTTAACGAGCTCTGTGTCGTTAATATTAATGGGTGAATAAACTTGACTGAACATCGCAGACTCGATTAATTATCTCACTGAATAAATGCATGAAGAACTTTGTTGCGGAACTTTCTAGAAGTGATAAAAATTTTGTAACAGCCATATTATTTTGGGATTGACGGAGGCGGGATTAGAGATTCGCGAGAATTGCAATACGGAAAGAGTCCATCTCGTCGGTTTCGCGTTTAATAAAGACAGATTTGAACGGCGCCCGCGAGCGCGGCGAGACCCGATCGATCTCTCGCTTGTCTCGCACTCGAGCCCGCGAGATTTCCGCAAGGAAGAAAATACATCGATAATATCGGGCCGCGTTTTATCGCTCCGAGAGTTTTCGACAAAGTCAAGCCACCTCGCCGTTTATCTTGACGTGTCAACTACAGTCGGCGCTTAGCGTGCCGCTTATATAATAATAATATACTACGCCATAATCGCACGTATTTACTTCTAGAGTAATCGTTATTGCATTACGTCGCTTGCTTTAGTCATGCGAGCTGACCGTCAACGAGAAGGTGACGACGTCTAATCCTACTTTAGCAATAAATAAAATTTATGAACATGCTTATCACGCTTCTTAAATTAAATACAAGCCGAGGGTCGATATAACAGTTTCGGATTGTGCGTTAGATAGTGAGAAAATACTGTACGGCTTCTAGCGAGTTGTTTGTCGTATTGCCGGCTCTATCTAAATTCGCCATGTAAATCTTTGACAAGTATTTATCAAGTAATTTTATTACACGGCTCATTTTTCCGAGATGCAGTCTTGCAATGGTTGTGCAAAGTTCAATGGCAAATTGTAACATGGCGTATCTCTTACGGACGTTTCATGTCAAATGACCGAGCAGATTAAATGCAATTGACTCGATTGATTTAATCCATTTATGAAATTATTGTCTTCGTCGTGTAATATCATTATGGATTTCTCGAAATGTGATAATTCGATAATTTGAAATTGGAAGTCAAGTGTTGCATCGCTTACAGCGAGAGGCCGAATTTGAGAAGACTTTCCCGCAAAAGAATCGCTTCTCTTTTTTTTCCACGTGCTTTCGTCAAAAAAATTAGATTAGGAGATATAAATACCCTAGTAGCACAGTGCCATTGGCTAAACGTTGACCCAACACAACCAAATATTGGGCCAATGTTTAACCAATGTTTGTTCAATGCACTGTGCTACTAGGGTACCAATACAACTTTCACTACGGAAGTATTACGATCACATCGCTGAAAAGTAATCAGTCAAGATCTTCAATCTGGGTTTCGTAATTCGGGACTTAGAGAATCTTCGCGGTAGGAACGGCCTTGCGTAGCGGCAGCGGTGGGTGCGCGCAGTAAAGTTCATTGTCGAAATTGCCAGAAAGGTCTCTCGCTATTGGCTTGTAGGTACACGGCGGACACGCGGGGATGTCGGTATTTACGCTAAAATACGTAACGAGCTCTCTCCACGCTTCGGCTCGCCTTAATTTACGCCTTAATTTCCCCTGGCGCCGCAAGCGTTAGCTCGAGTCGATCTTGTGGTTCGAGCAATCAACTTAAGGATGGGATTCGAGGTCTCGGGAACACACCAATGTTACATCACGCAAGCTCACATCTTGTCGTAATGCATTACCGAACGAAAACACATGGTACATCGGCCGCATTCGTTTTTCATAAAAAAGACAGAAATGTGCAACACAGTTTTTGCAATTTGAATCGTTCGAGACGAAGAAAGCGTTTTATTAAAGCGGACGATGCCACGTGATATTGCGCCTTTCTATCGGCACAATTCGCGGAAATCGCACGTCACGTCGCACGATAAGATGGAGAAATTATGATTCACATAATATACCTTACGATGAAATATACAGACACGCAGCTGACGAATGAAATAAAATAAAAAAGCATAAATTGCTTAGGGCCTGTGTCCACGATGCTAGAATTTAGTCCGTGTTCTAATTTCGAGAAATGTGTAGCCGATCAACTTGCAGCTTTTACGGAATAGTTGCAAGTTGATCGGCTACGCATTTCTAATAAAAAAAGACAGTTTTTTTATCCTAACAAAAAATCAAGTGTTTGGAGTGAAAATAGAATCATGGAGTAAAATATCCGCTCTATTGGAGGAAATATTTGCTCCAATATTTGTTCCAATAAATATTTGTTCCAATAAATATTTGTTCCAATGGAGTGAATTTTTTATATGCCATAGTTCTACTTTTACTCCAAAGCATTGGAGAGATGGTAATTTTATTAACGACGTTTATAATGCAACGTGACGAAAGAACGAGCTTGCGTGTCGCGACAATAGCGTGCCCGTATCTTTAATTACCTGTTCGTGCGTTTTTTTCGCGCGATTCCGTCGCGTTCAAATTCGAGACGAACGGATTTTACGCGCGTCCAAGTTTCGGCTTCACGACGATTAAGCGCGAGCGACAGCCTCGGACAGGGTGGCGTGAGATGTTGGTCCTCGTCTTCTCGTCGTCACCGACCGGTAGTGATTCTACTCACCCTCTGCCTTCGGGACAGCGGTGTCACATGCAACCGCAAGCCTCCACCACCATGTTCGGCAGTGTTTTCTGCGTGATCGTGTTGTTCGTATCGACGTATAATAGCTGGAGTGGCGCGAGCTGCGTCGGCGAGCAGCATGGCACTATCTTCTTCTTTTGTTGCACCCCTTCCTTACTCAACAACTTCTGCAAAGAGAATGGGTGTTTCGATGCTCATTAATTTGCGAAAATTTGCAATTTCAGTCGGCGGAATCAGTTTACGATTGATACGGTTTTATTTTTAACTACTGACTCGAATCGAAATTTAACAGTACTGGAGAAATGTACGTAAGGCCTAAAGTTACCACATGAAAAATATACGAGAGAAATTTTATGAAATATTGAAATGTACCGAATATGTAAAACATTCAACAGGGGGCTTTAAATCTGTGGCACATTTATAATATTTCTTTTACATTCATGGAATAAAATAATATGATGATGAATTAGGAAATATGTGAATATAATCTAAATAATACTTGAAATTAATTTAGAAATTTTCCGAGAGAGAAATTCATGGAGTTTGACTATTATTTATAAAATTTAGGAGTTCTCGAAGTTGAAATAGAGTAAATCTTGTTAGTCATTTGTTTGTAGATTGCAGGTAATGTTCAATAATTCTTTAAGGCCCGGTTTTTCGTTTTCTAGTTAAATGTTAACCAGAGATTGGTCGACTACTCTTCTTAGATAATAATATAGAAAAAGATAGAGAGTCGACCTCTGGTTAACAGTTAACCAGAAAATGAAAAAAATACGGGCCTAATAATAAGCTCTGTGAGGAATAACAGAGGAGATAGGGGGTGCGAATGTCGTTCTTTTCATATGTCCTCGGACTACCGAACATAAGAAAATCATCTCCGTTTCGCGTATGCAAACGATATTTCTCGCGTCACGCTTCGTATATGGCAGAAAGCATAGACCTAAGTTAATGGGGTTTTACGTTGCGTGATAATGGAGTCTTAACGCCCCATTATCGTTACGAGTTGCAAACTATATTACTCACATTATGTGCCGCGGTATAACAAGAGTGCCTCCTCTCCCGACTTTTATTAACAATTAATGCGGGTAATAAAGGACGCGATTATGCAGCACGATTATATTTTTTACGTTAAGTAAAGCATAAATTGCGTGTGTGTACGTGTGCAGCCGTTAGAGATGAAAAGGGATTACTTCACGCCTGACATGAATCAGTTTTTGCACAATTAAAACTAAAGGCTACATCCGTGTGCGAAAGTGTCCAATTTAGAAGTCGAACA